TTAACTTACCCATTATAACTGTTACATTAACTTTCATTTACTTATTTTAAAATTTTAACAATTAATGTAATATTTAAAATTTAAAAACAGCCCTTAAATTTAAAATGATGTAAAAATTAGTTGAACTTATCTAAATTGGTTTAGTTTAGATTTGATTTTTTTCGAACAGATATTAATCTAATATTATATTTCTTATTATTAAATATATATATATATTAAATTTAGAGTGGTTTATCAAAATTAAAAATGTTAAATTTAATTTTTTTATCTACTAACTATCGTTCTCTTATCATTTTAGTCTAAAAATTTAGTTCCTTCTAAATTCATATATAAACTTTTTAATAAGCTTCTTTTAGCTTTTTTTTTAACGAAATCCTCTATCAATGCTTATTTGGTGCCAGTCACCACTTACAGGGCATATGCAATTTTGAAAAATTATACTTTAACCCTAAAAATTTCACAATTTCAATTAAGTTATATATTCAAGCCACTTCATAAATAAAATTTAGTAAACTAAGTCCTTAAAAGGACTAAATTATAATTAATCAAAACTAATGATAAATAATTAAGGTTGTGAGCTTAATTTGTTAATTAATTAAAATTATAGTATTATTTTATCAAATTAAAATTTAAAAAATTTCTTTTACATGTAAAAATTTTAAAAATTAAGGATTTAGAAATAATTTCTATTATTACATATTTTACCCTTAAAAAAGAAATAAAAATAAAAATAACCTTTTTCATGATAGGAAAGATAATTAAAATTAAGATATTATCATAAAATTAAAGTAGGAAAAAATACTTATCTCTCTTAAAATATATAAAAGAAAGCCACTATTATTCTAGGAAAAATTCCACCTTTTTATTAGGGTAATATTATTGTCACACCCTCAATTACTAATATTACACATTTTTATTTAATTGACTATTATACATTTTAATTTATTAAGAAACAAAAAATGTAGAATTTTGAAAAAAGGAGTAATATATTAAAAAAGTGTGACATTAACTATTTAGAATATGGTAATAACTCCACATTTAACTATTTAAAATATTTAATTCAATTACATCATAATTTAAAATATTTTATTTAAACTTAATCTCTCATTTATTAGAAAATTTCATAAAAAATTAAAAACTTATTCTCTCCTTATGAGTTA